TTTGGTATTTTTATCATCTAAATTTAAAATATATTTTCAAAATGGTCATTTCTGTATAATTAAATGTAAAATTAAAAAAATAAATTAACTATAACAATTCATGAATTATTAAAAACTTATAAAAAAATCTTTTAAATTTCAAATCAAATACACATCTTTAATTAGAAAAAATCATTTTGGGAAAGTACTTCATTATATATGATCATTTTAAGAACTTATTCTAAATTTAGCGAATAAAAAAATCAAAATATCCCCCAATTAATTATCATTTGAGTAGCATTATTTACGAAGGACTATTTTGAGAATAAATCTCAGTTATAGAGGACCTACGTAGGTAATTTAAACTTATTGAGGACTGATTTGGGAAAACACCTTATTACAAATGACCATTTTGGGAATTTACTCTAGTATTTATATACTAAATGTCATAAAATTAAATTAGCCCGGACCTTATGACCACTTTAGTACTCACGTTTTGATTTTTATAGTCAATTAGGGTATATCTTTGATCTATAATAAAATAAAAGTTACGTAGTAACTAACTACTGACTTAAGATAAAAGTTTATTTTGAATTTTTTTTACACGATGAATCTAATAAACTTATTCTTGTATTAATAAATAATATAAAATTTATTCAATTAATGGTTAAAGTTTATTAATTTTGATTTCAAAATGTCAAAACTAAACGAATACTCAGGAGCTGACGTACCATTTGATAAGGATAGTCTATTTTCATTTTCATGAATTTCATAAAAAATAATTCTCCTTTGCTCTCATTATAAAAAAAATCTTCTTTGCTCCGGTTAGTCCATGAATTCTCATAGGCTTCGTGTATTGACTTTTCAAAGAGAAAACATGTCATATTTGACCATGAATTTCTCACAAATCACGTACGTAGTTCATTTGGTCTCAATTCCAATTGTCTATTAAAATTTGACTAAAATTATTTTTAATTCAATTTATACTCTCTCCGTCCCTAAAAAAAATACCGCAATTGCTTTTTTAACAATCGCGAGAATTTTTATTTATTTGTACGTTTTCATTGGTTATTTGATAAAATAAAATATTCTTGACAAATCTTATTTCGAATAACTTTTCAGGTAGTTTTTAATGTATAATTTTTATATTCCTTCCGTTTTTTAAAACACTTCTTCTTTCATTTTTTTCACTTCCAACAAAACACTTCCACTTTCTATTAAAAAACCACTTTACCCTTACTTTTTCATACCCTACCTATCACATCATACTTTATCTCTAATAATCTATACATCACATCTTACTTTTACCAATCACATCAAGGGCAAAATTGGAAGTCAACTACAATTTAATACTTCATTATTTTTACACAAAGTCAAAATAGGAACACTTTTTCCAAACGGATGGAGTATTATATTTCTTTACCAATATTTAAATAAAATGAATTAAAAAAACTTAATATTTTATGCTTGTTCTACGGTTGTATTTCCTGTCAATGTAGATATAGAAGTATAGTTTTGATTCGCTACCACTTGTGACGTTCAAAGATAATCTTGTTATTCCATTGGTCCAGTATCTAGTTGTTTTAGTTCCTTTTTTTTTTAAATTTTATAAAGGGGAATATATTATTGAATTATTGATCATTATTTATTCCGTTATATTATAAAGGAGTAGAAAAGAATTGAAGGGACGGAAATTGAAACCTACAAAAAGTTGAGTGTTTAAATAGAAAGGGAACTGTTTGATTGATAAAACAAAACTAAACAAAAGCAGGGCATCAAAATTAGTGCCAGTGGGGTTTTGGCCATTTTAAACACTAAAAACCAACAGGCTTCTTGGATTGCAACCTACCGGTGCTGGGCGGTGCAAGACAAACACCGGCCAAAACTTCTTTAATAGTGTTGGTAGCAGTAGTGTTACTCATTTGATTCTGGAGTATTTGTTCATTTTCAAACATTTTTTATCAAAATTGATAAATTTTGAATTTAAATTAAATAAAAATGATGAGAGTAGCCCAATAGATCACACAAATGAACAGATTAATAATTATGAGGTCGATCAATATAATTTTGTTAATCACAATTAATGGGATGATTAAAAAGAATATTGCACGTATTTTTGTGTCAATTTCATGAGGTGAAATCCCCATGTCCGTTACTGTCAAGAAGATAGAGGCAAAATTGTGTTCATTATACTCCCTATTACTCTATGTCTCGATCTGTCTCAAAATGAACCACTCCTTTCTACTCACACGTTCCTAAATAAACTTCCATTTTTGACTTTTTGAGGATTTAAGGGAAGGATATTTTTGTGTTGACTTTCCAAAAATACCCTTAATGTGATGTGTAAAAGTAAGATGTGATAGATAGATTATTAATAAAAAGGTATAATGTATAGATAGGGTATGAAAAAGTAAGGGGTAAAAGAGGTTTTTTAAGGGAAAAGAGAAGTTTATTTGGGAATAAAGAAAAAACGAAAGAGAAGTTTATTTAGGGACGAATGGAGTATTAATTTACAAAATCTGATAATTCTTAAAATGATTTTATTTAGTGGAAATTACTCTAAATAAGACTAAAACATAAAGAAAAATACCAAAATAGGAATTTCATGTTTTTTTCCCAAAATAAGACTTTGTATTGTGATAATATGACACTATACATGTGCACATTACTATACTTTTTTGGTAATGTACATGATCATGTTTGGTAATATAAGTCCTATTTCGGGAATAAAAACACGGAAGTCATATTTTGGTATATTTTCAATATTTTAATCCTACTTTGATCTTTCTCTCTTTTATTTATAAATAAGTATTGAAATAAAAGATAAAAATTGAATTTTTAAAAATCATACCAAAAGTTTTACAAAACAAAAACATTAAAAATATTTTATTTTATCAAATAATGAATAAAATATACAAAAAAAATAAAGTCATCGAATGAACATAATAATAATGAAGTAGGGAGTATATTATTTTGGAGAAGATGGAGTATTATTTTCATGCTCCCTATATAGAAATGCAACCATCCGCTTGTTTGGTGGGAGGAATTGTTGGAGTTCTCCTAAAATGTTAAGTATGGTTTGGTTTGGTGATATTTTTATTTATATGATTGAAATTACTCCATTCTTTCCAAGAATTCTGAATCCCACTCCTCAATGCCTTTGCTGTTTCCAAAAAGAAAAAAGATGGACCCTATCTTCATGGTCTTTTGAGACCCGACTGCACGATGACTAATATAAAATAAATTAGATTGATATAGTTGTATTCAACCATAAATGATAGAAATCGAACTCGAGTATTATCTCTCGAGTTACAAGTATCTCTTACTTTATCAACTACGCAATCCTACCATTCTATGCACAAAAACGGTGAAGAGTATAAATACGTAAAGACATAATTACCCTCTCCAAATCAACTCTTTTATTTGTGCCCAATGCCCACCCCCATGTATAGTTGTAACCACATGCGAAGAGGCGTGCTCCACATTTCCAATTAATTCAACCCCATAGTCAACCAAACACAAATTTTCAATTCTTCTTGTCAAACGTTAGGATTTAAATTCATTTTAATTCTAAAAAAAAATCTTATCATTATAAATGTCCATTCGTTGTATCCCTTTATTCAAACCAAACAACTCAAAACGCAATTAACCTTTAAATAGGGTGTTTGAGGTTGAACTTTTATTTTCAAAATTTTAATCAAGTACAACCTCATCAAATTATCACTTGCATAAAAAGAGTAAAGACCTAACGTTTTTTTAGATCAACTCTCATACCATATACTCTGTATAAGATTGTGATATTTCATCCCAAAATTAATTACTACGTAGATTATTAGAAATAAGAGTTTCAATTTGGACAGAGGGAATACTTGGTACCAAGTTAAGGGTATGGACCAAAGGCACCAAAATTCGTTTGCTCTTTTTGTTTGATCTGATTAGTTTTAATTTCATTGAAATAAATTTTGATATGATCCAATTTGATTTTAATAAAATAAATACTCCCTCCATCCACCTAAGATTTTTCCATTACGTGTTACGAGGCTTGACTGACTTTATTTTCAATTTAATTTAATTCATTATAGGAGTAAATTTTTAAAATAGAAATTATATAACATTAAACTAAATGAAAAGTTCTACAAAACTAGAGGTGACAAGACTATATTATTTTACGAAATGAATAGTAAAAATGAGCAAACAAAGTAACTAAAATTTGATCCTATGAATAGTGTCTGGAAAGATCTATGGTGGACAGAGGAAGTAATAAAATTAAGTTGGAGAGGAGAAACTCTTAATTGGAGTATGAGTTATGATGAGTGAATGGATCAAAGGAACCACTTTTTAATAGAAATATGATACCTCTAGCTAGCTAGCTTGTGTGTGCCCTAAAAAAGTGACACGACTTTTTGGGATTGGGGCATGATATGCCCATTAGATAGGTTCCATGGCATAAGAATAAATACTCAATCACTCCATCCCTTTTAAAATAATGCCCCAATATATGTTCCTTTTTTATTTTGTCTATTTTTCTTTATTATAGAATAAATTTTTTCTTATGCATAAATTTTATATAAATTTAAAAATTTTGGCAACAAACAAACACGTTCCCAAATTATTGAATAAGTAGAATGAGAATACATAAGTAAGATATATACTACTCCGTATTTACTCTGCATAACTCAAATTTTTTTTATTCAAGACGAATAAAATTATGCACAGCGGCATTCACTAAAAAAAATAAATTTTTTGTCAGAAAACAACTACTACAAACTTATATGTATAATATGTAGGCATTGTTTGGAAATCACATTTTCAATTAACAATGACAATTTGGGTAGATTATTAAATGATACAAATTAATTTCAAAATTATTAAAATTTTACATTGGTATTAAATAAATTTTTCAAAATGCTAAAATTTATGCAAAATGGATCTCTTTTCACAAGTGAGGTTGGGGTTGTTGGGAAACTTATTACTTTGGGAAAGAGTATATATATATATGTACATCTACACACCTCATTCCTCACCCCCTCCCACCATAATAAGCCCAAACAACAACATTTTTACCCCTACCTACTAATTCTTCTTTTTGTTAAGAAGATAGCAAGAAAAATATTTGAACACATAAAAGATCAGATAGCCAAATTGTGATGTGCAACTTTAAACTCTCCTCTTCACCATCCTCACTACTTGTCTCTACTACCAAAAACCATTTCCTCATCTCTCCACAGCCATCTTCTTCCTCCTCCTCCATGGATCCTCAACCCCATGATGATGGCCTCCATAGATGGCCAACCCCTCAAGAGGTAATTTAATATACAAACATAAATGCATACAAAAAAAAAATCCTTTTTTGTTTGTGTGAATTTGCATTGGAATTGAAGATCTAATGAAGTAAGAATTGATTTGCAGGCCTTGGAGGAAATAAAAGCGATAGGGAAGATTTCAGGGCCAACCGCCATTACAGGGCTGCTAATGTACTTCAGAGCAATGATCTCCATGCTCTTTCTTGGGTACCTCGGAGAATTGGAACTTGCCGGCGGCTCTCTCTCCATCGGCTTTGCCAACATCACCGGATACTCAGTCATCTCCGGCCTGGCCATGGGGATGGAGCCCATCTGTGGCCAAGCTTACGGCTCCAAACAGATGAGGCTCCTCGGGCTTACCCTGCAGAGGACGGTTCTCCTCCTCCTCTCCGCCTCCGTCCCCATCTCCTTCATCTGGCTCAACATGAAGAGAATCCTCTTGTGGTGCGGCCAGGACAAGGAGATCGTCACCGCCGCTCACACCTTCATCCTCTTCTCCGTCCCGGACCTCATCTTCCTCTCCCTGCTCCATCCCCTCAGGATTTACCTCAGAGCGCAGGGGATCACCTTCCCGCTTGCCCTCTGCTCCGCCGGCTCTCTCCTCCTCCACGTCCCCATCAATTTCCTCCTGGTTGGGTATTTCCGGCTTGGACTTTCCGGGGTGGCCTTGGCCATGGTGTGGACCAATTTCAACCTCTGCCTCCTCCTCTGTCTCTTTATCTACTTCTCCGGCGTCTACAGGGATTCTTGGGAGGGCCCCACCTCCGATTGTCTCGGCGGGTGGTCGTCCTTGCTGGCATTGGCCATCCCCAGCTGCATCTCCGTCTGTCTGGAGTGGTGGTGGTACGAGCTCATGATAATGCTGTGCGGCGTTCTGGTCAACCCTCGAGCCACCGTAGCTTCCATGGGGATCCTCATTCAGACCACTTCTCTGGTGTACGTTTTCCCCTCCGCCCTAAGTAGCGGCGTGTCGACTCGGGTCGGGAACGAGCTCGGGGCGGGCAGACCCGCCAGGGCGCGGAAGTCAATGATCGTTTCCCTGTTCTGCGCGGCGGGGCTGGGTGTGGCGGCGATGCTGTTCGCGACGGCGATGAGGCACAGGTGGGGGAGGTTCTTCACCGGCGACGAGGAGATTCTCCGGCTGACGGCGGTGGCGCTGCCCATAGCGGGGGCGTGCGAGCTGGGGAACTGCCCGCAGACGACGGGGTGTGGGGTCCTCAGAGGGAGCGCAAGGCCGAGAATTGGGGCCAACATAAACCTGGGATCATTCTACCTGGTCGGGATGCCGGTGGCGGTTGTTCTTGGGTTCGGGCTGCAGATGGGCTTCGCCGGACTGTGGTTGGGCCTTCTGGCGGCCCAGGCGTCGTGCACCATCTTCATGCTCCGCGCCCTCACCACAACCGACTGGACCCTCCAAGCCGAAAGAGCCAAGCAGCTCACCGCCGCCACAACCACCCAATCTTCGCCGCCCATTCCTCCACTTAATAAACAGAGCAAGGCCGCCGCCGCCGCCAAAGTTGCACCGGAGACATTTTGCGGCGGAGACGGCTGTTCCATAGAAATGGAACCTTTCATAATCATTGTAAAAAATTAAGCAAAAAAAAAAAAGAAAAAAAAGAAAAGAGAATCAATTACTGGGCGGATCTGAACCATTAATTAATTAATTAATTTTTGTTGATGTGAATTCCTTTGAAACACAAACACACTGCAGACACATACGGAAGGGACAAGAACGTACTTGGCTTTGGATCTTTTGTCACTTCTATTTCATCTCATTATCATGTCAGACATCCCCATTCTCTATTTATCATTAATGAATCTCCTTCATTAATTTTTTTACTAACCCCTTAATTATCCCCTCAATGCATGTAGAAATGCATACTGTCCCACAATTGTGAGACATTGACACTGTTCATCAACTTCTCCCCAGATGTGTGAGAAGGATGGAGCAGGACCGGATCTTTTCTTTATGGCTGAAATGGGCAGTGTCAAAATAGGACACCTACACCTCCAAAAGAAGGGTACTTGTTCTTAATCACCCGTTTTCCATTGTTTATGAATCAATGAATTGATTGTTGCAACATATGGGGTGAAGACTGATGACAATCAAATTCTCCATGTATATTATTACCGCAGTCATTTATGGTTGTATGAGCTTGAGA